AAAAGTGTTATCTTCCCTCCAAAGCTGGCATATTAAATTGATATTAAAACACTTTAAAACTTACACCTCAGGAGTTCTTACCTGTCGGGATCCTTCGGGAAACGGTGCAAGGCCAGGTGCGGGGTGTTCCACTGATAGTTGTTGCAGTTAATTGCACTACACTGTTTACTTTTACTTTTTTTCTCCTCTCTCCTTGACATCTTGGAGCTCCGCCTCTTGGTATCCATGCTCTTTGGTTCAGATCTTGTCGCGAGTATTTAGGTTCGTTCGAGATGAGCCAGTCCTGCGCAGATTCGATCACCGGCGATCGGCGCACAATGCATGCTGGTTAGTTTTGTGTCCGACTTCATCCCGACTTGCTCTGACGTATTACAAAAGTGGACGGCGATAAAGCCGCGAGAGCGAGGCGGCCGCAGTTTTTAGAGCCAGACGCTGCAGTTGCTCTCACCTGATCTAACAGCTGATTGGTTCAGATGTCGACTCAACAAGATGACGTTTTAGATAAACTACTCATTTTTGTTGAATTCTAGAGATTAAGATTGTATTTGTCTGACCTGAAGGTTTATTCTGTGAACAGAAAACATGTTGTGTGACTGATGGTGAAAACAAACTGATAAATGGGTCTGATCACTTTTTTAATGAACTGACTGAAGGCTGCTGGAAACTGTCGGACTTCACCGCAGCTTTTTGTCACCGCCCCCGCTGCGGCCGCCTGCTCTCGTCTACTTTCCAGGCGAGGCGCAGTTCATCTCGAACGAGCCTGTTGAGAGCTATATAAACCCCACAGGTTTCATTCAAAATGTGTGGTTGTGATAGAGGAGAGTTTTTGACAGTTGAGAGTTTGGATAGTTTGGAGAACACAAGCACATTCACTGTCCTCACCCCCTATTTTATTATTTCTACTTTCCCTTGTGACCACTGTAATTTCAAAAAGTTAAGGTTTAAATCTACAAAATACAATAATACAAAAATAATATAGTGTGTAAAAAATACACATTATATTAATATAGGTGAATCATATATTTACTGTTACTATAATGGAGAGTAGATTTATTCAATTCAGTTAAAAAAGTAGAGCAAATGAAGCATCAAGAAGCTTTGCCCTTGAGTGAACCAATTTGATGAAAAGCTTTAATGTTTCATGACGCTTCAGCTGCCCATCACTAACGTTACCTGTGGCTTTATCCAATATCTCTGATTACGGATACGGTGCCTTCGCGTTCAGTTGTAGTTCCCTGTGGTTCTTGAACGCACCTTGAATTTGTTGGTCCTCCAGTATCCCACAATGCACCGCTGCCGTGTTCTGTGTCCACGTCAAACCTGACAGCTATCGCCGCAGCCGAGCTGATAATATGGCTGCAGTTGAGGTGGCACTTTCTGGGCGCTGTGTTGTTTAGACCGGCTAAGAAACTACTGAAAACACCGCTAACACTCAGCGTACGCGACTCAGACCTGAACGCAACGCCGCCATTAAAGGTATCAGCCGTTTGACTGCGATATAAGTTAGCTTAGCTTAGCTTGGCAGATTCCTCCAGGCAAACGATCAGCTGTTACTAGCCGGAGTCTTTGCTAAATGAGCGTCTGTCAGCCTGAAAAGCGACTTTGTTTCGGGACATTTCAGTGGACTGTGAAGTTTAACGACGTGTCTGTGGTTTCGTGCGAACAGTTGAGCTTCATGACCGAGTTCACGGTGTCACCTCTGGAGTCAAAGCTAGGCTAGCCCCCCACTGGTCCTTCTCGGCCCTGCTTTGTTTTTGTTTGGTTTGTAGCCCTCCTCGAGATGTCATCGTGGCTGGGTGGGATCGGCTCCGGCCTCGGTCAGTCTCTGGGCCAGGTCGGCGGGAGCCTGTCCACCTTCACCGGACAGATATCTAACTTTACCAAAGACATGCTGCTGGAGGGGGTGGAAGAAGTAGGAGGTAAGTTTGTGTTCCTGTTTTTGACACTTTGTCAGCCACATCATCAGAACTTTGAATTACACTGTTGAGCAGAGAGCATATATTATATTTTAAATGTGTTTTGCACACATACATTAGCTGCTTGATTGTTCTAGTACACCCACATGAATTAAAATCGCTACCAAGGGTCAGGATCTCAGGTCTTGCCAATTAGCAGGTCCTTAAATAAAGAGTTTGATCTCCAGAAAGGTTGTAAAGATATCTCAGCTGTCCTGGGAGGCATCAACAAAAAGAAGAAGCAAGACATGACACAGCAGCGTAAGCATTTTCTTGCAAAAACACTGCCATTAACTGAAAAATAACCCAAAGGAGGGTTGCTTAAATTAT